CTGAGACACACTTAATATTATCAGCGTTCTGATGGCATTTTAGCCAAAGGATTTTTATCAAAAACATCATTAATGTGAACAAATAAGGAATAGTTGGTGCCCTAGGCTACTGCCTAGTATTGCCTAATGGTAAATCCCCCCCCGATCATCACATTGCTAAATAAATAGTTTTTCCACATGATGCAAAATTAAATGTGACTCTGTTACCATTAGTTATAAAACTAAGAAAATGAAGTCTAAGGAAGTTATCTTCCAGAATTATAGAAAATTGTTCTTTTAAAGCAGTAAAGCTTCTGTCCGTAACATTTTCTCCTGCGTTACTTTTAGTTTTATACTTTAGGTAGTTTTAAAAAAGGTACTTATATTATACTTTTACTGGAGTAAAAAGCTAAAGTTGATCCTCTAACTTTGTGTTTCTAAACTTATACTTCTACTGCAGTAATAAACATGAATTCTTTTGACACCTCTACTGCTTCCTGTCTGTCCTGCTTCCCAGGCAACCAGTTGGAAGCCACCCTGTGTCTCTGTTGGCCAGATCCACTGGTGACGGCCAGGAAAGGCTATGAGGGAGTCCCACCCGAGGAGCTGCCCCCGCTAAGCAGGCAGCAGACGGAGTTAGCCATGGAAATACTGAAAATCCTTTTTAACATCACATTTGATGCAAACCGACGAAAGGTTGACGAGGTGAGGAGAGCCACGCTTTGGCAAGCTCACTGTTGTTCTTAGTTGTATGCTAATGAGGCCAGGATGACAGAGGAGACGTCAGACTTCCTGTTTGTCCTGCTTCCCTGATGCCTTACTGGCCAGCATCAGGAGAGGCTCTGCTCCATCCATTTCTCTCTGCTCCATCCATTTCTCTCTGCTGACATAGCGCAGGCCGAAACAGATGACTGCCCTGTTCAGAACACATGAACAGACTTCATGCAATGTGTGTCCATGTGTGTGTGATTGAAGGAGGAGGCAGCGGAGTACCGACACCTGGGCGCACTCCTCAGACACTGCCTGATGAGCCGAGCAGATGGAGAGGAGAGGAGCGAGGAGTTCCACAGGTATGATAACGCTTCACGCTCGCCGCTCCCCTCCAAGGCCCACCTCTTCATTCTGTCTCCTTCTGTTCTCAGCCATACTGTGAATTTGCTGGGGAACCTGCCGCTGCTGTGTCTGGACGTGCTGCTACTCCCCAAGGTGGAACAGGGCTCCATCGAATACATGGGAGTCAATATGGACGCTGTAAACATGCTGCTGGAATTCATGGAGAAAAGACTGGAACGGGTAGGAAAACAGGATTTATTTCTGAGATCCATGATGCAGATGCAACCATTTGGAGGGTTGCAGCTTACCAACAGTCTTTGCCGCTCAATTCAGTTTAGTTCTATCATATATATTCAACACAGGTCATATCGAAGCACAGAAACAGAACAAACACACCATCCAATCAGATTAGTTCAAAGTTTTCAATCTAAGGAAAAACCAGCTGATTGCAGTCAGTCATTCATCCTCATGCATTGCAAAAATTATAGAAATAACAAAATTTATCAAAGTAAAAAAATCCGGTTAGCAAGGAATACTCAACGGATCATTATTTATACCTAAAACTAATACGTTTGCGGTGATTTCATGAATTTAGTGTTAATCAGTAAAAAAATAATAAAAAACAAATTTCGTTGCGATCAGTGAGTCTGGGACATTTGCTGCGCCACTGAATCTGGTCTGTGATTGGACGGTCACTGCGCAGCAGAAGTCCTACAATTATAACCTAGTCGTCTTTAGGGTCGCAAGCCTTTTTCTCTTCCTTCTGGTACGTTTTGGATATTTGAGATATTTGAAACAGTCAGAGTTACTAGCCTGGGTGCCAGTCCGAACTTAGTCCCGCCCACAAGGTTTGAGTTCGGGGAAGTTCGGTCTGGCTCTGCTCCATAGTAGTGCGAGTATTAAAGCCCACTGTCAGGCGATCCAATCAAATTGTCAGGGCGGGCTTTATACGATGATGGACAGATGATCAAGAGTAACGT